CGTTTCAGTCGTTCTCGCCCGCTTCGCGCCTCGAATAACCTCGATTTCTTAGCCGTGCCTCGGCCAATGTCGAGATATACCGGCTGAATTAAACTTCCATCGACGAAATACGCAGTGTTACTACGCTTGTCACTGTCCAGCCACGTTACTCTGCTTTCGTCCGTCGGAAATCATTTTGCTTACCTTCTTTGAAATAACTTGGAATTTCGGCTTCGACGATTGCTTTCCTGCGATCGTTTAGAAGTGCGCGATTTTTGGAAAGTAAATCTAAGTGTTTTCGGGAAATCTTGATAAATAGAATTTCTTTCCTTGCTAAAGAAAATTCTGAAATTAGAAAAAATAATTCTAATATTCGTAGAGACTACAAAGAGGTATTGAAGTACTTTGGCTTCGATGATGTTTCTCCCATCATCGTTGAGATTTCTGAATGATCCTTTCCATATTAAAAATAATTCCAGTGTCAGAAAAAGGAATTGGAACATTCGGAGACCAAAAAGAAGCGGTAAAAGAAATAAGGAAACGTACTTCGTGCCTTAAAAGCATTGAAACCAAATTCTGAGAACAAAGGGGAACTAAAAAAGCGTGAAAAATTTGAAAAAAATTTCAGTACTTCGGTAAACTCGGGAAACAAAGAGAAACCTAAAAGTTGCTCAAGTCCAAAGTAATCCGGACATCAGCGCAGATTAAGAAAAGCCTAAAAAAGATATGAGACAAACTTCACTCCTTAAAACGTAGAGCCAAACTCGGGGAACGTAAAAAACAAGTGTTTTCAGAAGTGCGAAAGGATTGGCAACGATCTGTAACTGCTGCAAGGGACTATTCCAAAGAGGACCAATTTTATTCAGAATCATTTTTCTACTCGTCGTTAGACTTTGGATTTTTATGCAAATTCGTATCTTTGAGAAATACTAAAACAAGTAGAACTTGGGTAGGAAATTATTTCACCTACCAAATATTATAAAAATCACTATAATTTTTATATTTTCTCACATTATATGCATTCTGTGAAATTTTGTACCTTTAAATTTCCTATAAAAAAAAATGAAATAATTCTTCGTAGGATCTCAAGTATCACGTAACGACTGTTTAGATTCACTTCCCTAAGTGTCACACATATTCAAATATATCCAACGTCCACGTCATCACCAGGCAAGCAAGAAATCCGTTCCCAAGATTTGCTATAATAGTCTCGTCAGCTAACGGTTAACCGTCATCGAACACATCGGAAATTTTCTCTCGCGTGCAACCTTTATTACACCAGATAGAAATAGCGTTGAAAGTTTAGGAGCGCTTTTAGCGCGAGTCGCAGGTTGGAAATCGAAAATGGAGGGTCGACAGTCGGCACGAGGGTTCGGCTGTGTGCGCATTAGGTACACGTGAGTGCCAAGCCAGACTGGTCCGGCAAATAGTTGGAAGCCTTACGCTCGTATATCATCGGGGCAGGATTTATGCAATGCAGAAACTCGCGTGTACGTACGAGTGTGTTGGCTTAAGCGAAGGCAACGGGCCGCGCGTGCAACCATAAGTCACGAACACTTCTCAGTGCGCTCGCTCGCGCGTGCGTGAACAATGCTGTGTCTGATGTGTCCACGCGGAAACACTTCTGTTCCTTAAGTTCTCGAGAGACGAAGAAGAAAAGAAGAAAATGAAAACATACTTCAGCCATTCTGCCTAATCGATTTCGTTTGTGATTGCAATTACCCTAAATTGTCGTTGGCTACAGAAAAATCGATTAACGTCGTTGGAGGCTGATTTTGTTGGAAATATGGTCGGTTCTTGAAGGAATTTTTCATCAATCCTTCATTATCGATGAAATTTCGTTTATTTTTAATATTAGGTGTGGAAATGAATTTTTTTTTACGAATTTTGGATACAGTCAAAGTTCTATTTAAAAAGAATGAAAATGATGATCAATCGCCGAAGTAATTTCCATTATTTTTTGTGATTTTTTCTGCCATTTTTCAGTTCGATAGAAACACAGTGGGGTTTAATCAGTTATGCGAAAGAATTCATTTCTACACCTGATACATGGTTACACTAATTTCAATTACTGCGTGAAATTGTATTTTTCTACGGATCGAGTAATATTCGAGAAAGTGTGTTCTCATCGTTCGAAAATTGTTGGGTTTATTTTCGTTTTTCATCAAGTCCTCCCGGATTAGCCAAATCGACTGGGTCGAGTAAAATATCGATTCTTAAGGTCAGCCGTATAGTCTATCAGCCTCTGTAAGCTGTCGGTTATAAACTCGAGACACGATGAATATGATTCAAAAGCACCTGACTGACGTCAATCTATAATTGCATCCCTCATGACGTGTGGATACATTTTGGTCGGATTGCTTCGAATTATCTGTTCTCAATGCACGATAGCTTTCAGGTTGCAACTGGAGTTACGTGGACGACGGCATCCGACCAGCTTTTCAAGAAGCTTTGACCCTAATTAAGTACCGCCCTTCAATCACGCCAATCGTCTTATCCTTTGAAAATTTATACCAAAGTATCACAAATTCTGTATACTTTTTTATCAACAGTCTCGCGGCAACAGCATTCCTAATTTCAATAAAATTCTCCAATTTCCATCTCACACAGGGAAATAAAATTATTTACAGAAAAATTCTGCAATTCTAGAATCAAATTTTCTCTCACAATTTCTACGAGAGCGGTGTGTTACGATCGATCAAATTGAGGCTCGTTCACCGAGGAAATTCGAGAAGAAGAGGCGACCGCAACGCGTGTACAAGTTTCTGAAAAGTGGATGAAAAAAGAAAATAATATTCTTCCGGTCGATTTCGAAGAACGGTGGAATTTTTCACTTTGTTAGCCGGACGAGCGCGTAACGCGGCGCGGCGCACCGATAAAATAGAGCAGCAGAGATGGGAAACACGGCCGCGGATCGAGAGAGAGTGATAGACTGATAGAACCGTAGACATTGAACCGGCCCCGTGTAGCCAATCATTGGAGGATCCTCCCATTCCCTGTTTAATCGTCTCAGCAACGTGAGTTCCACCAGCCCGATAATGAATACGCCCCGTAGCGCAGTTAGGTACATCTACAGCCGACCACCGAGCCACTCTTGGCCAGCGTGAAAATTCCGAAAACTTTGATACTCGACCGTGTTTGGCCGCGAGTGGACGGTAACTTTGCCCTGTTCTATTAAAAGGAGAACGAAGTCGCCGAGAAAGGGAGACGCACGATCAATTATTTTATGCTGTTTTATTCTGATTCCCAGAAGCACGGTGAAGTTGAAATTAACATTCTACTCTTGCCTTCTGAGAATCGTTCTTTGTTCGTTTATTATCATATACAATGGAATGGTTAGTATGATAACGAATGTGATTTCGCTTGCTTGTGAAGAAGATTCTAGGATTGGGTCATATTTGACCCGATCACCGTATCACATGCGAATGCCAAGCCGTCCGCCGTCCCAGGGTTAATTACACTTTTCCAAATTTCTGAATGAAAGAAGCTTTGAATGAAAATCTCAATTTTTTCCAAATTTCCAAATATAATAGAAGAAGCTTCGAACGAAAATCTCAATTTTTTCGAAATTTCTGAATTAAAGAAGCTTCGAATGAAAATCTCAATAACCATTTGCAAATACTGAAAGTATGTATTCTCCTTCCTAAGATATTTAATGCTCTATAATAAAATCTAATTTCCCATAGTATATTTACCCCAAATCATCGTCGCTGATAACTAAGTACATATGTATATCCTTATATAAAATAAAAAATTTAAAAAATACATAAATTTGTGATCGCGAAAATGTGAAAATTAAGGAAAAAAATTCCAGATTTTTATACGCCGAAATTCTCTCTTTTCACAATGTCACAGCACGGAGAGCAATATACTCCGGCACATAGTTTCAATTCGCCGTGCGGGAGAGCCGTTTTCAAGCGATTCGTGAGAATCGCTCTTAGAAAATGTTTCTGTCAGGCACAAGCCGCTGTATAAACTTTCAGCCGTTGATCGGTAAATTCATCTCCAGTTCCTTTCATTGAAACACAGGAAGTGTTCCACACGAGGGAAATGGATTTCTTGTTCGGTCGTGTGTCGCCCTGGGAACCGGATCGTGTTTTACAGACTTTCATTTTGATCTCGAAAGGGGACCGAATGTAAGCGCGTGATTTTCGTCCAAATCGATGAACATCATTTTCAGATATATTTTTCGAAAATTTCCGTCTCGCTGAAATTCCACGTTAATTTGGCGCAATCATGGCTATCTCGATGTGCCCGTTTTGCGATGATATCAACGTAATTCGTGATAATAGTGATAATTACGGACGTGATAAATACTTGTATCATTCGTCGTTGTGAAATTAAACTGATTTTATATTTGATCTCGTATTCGAGCGAATGCGAGAATTTGCGAAAAAGCGCGGGAAAATTGAATTTTTATTTTCTAAGCAATAAAAAGGACGCAGAATTACCACGCGACTAATTGTAAGTGAGAATTTTAATTACTCTGGAGAGAATGAGATGAAATTTTTGTTAAATTACGAAAAGAAATACCGAATGAAAACGAATTTGTTGCAAAAATAAAGAGTTTGTATCCGTTTCAAAGTTTAAAGAAGATGACCATATTTAAAAATTTTTTGTGACTTTCCCTATCGATAGATTTAAAAAATATTTTAACCATATTTACAAAACACGTTGACAAAGCAAATAAAAAAGTTGGACAGGTGTTGTTCCAAACCTTCTTTTCACCACTGTATATTTAGATCAGACTAAGCAATCAGCTTGAGAACAAGATCGGTAGTCGCGTTAATTCCAGTAAAAACAACTGGTGCAATTACACTTTCCTTTCCCAGAGATCATTCGAACCGTATCGCGATGGCGTAGACGACACGTCGTACGTCGATCGCAACGAGGCGGAACGCATCTGTACGCACGCAAGTTCGAGTTTGGCATGATTTAACTGCGGAACAAAGTGACGATTTCGCAGGTGGTTTGTGTCGTTTGTAAGCGTCGCGCGTGTCTAATGGTCCCCGTACGTGTAATTACGTTGACAGCCGACGGCAGGGACGAATTGTACGCGTGGTGTGCGTCGGCCTACGAATGGAAACGGTCGGGAGCGACCGATGCCCTGTTTGCTCACTCGATGACGCATCGCCACGAGATCCTCTGCCCTTTCCGATTAACGCACCGGTGCCGCTTAAGGACCCACCGAGAGGAATTTCGATCTGGTCTGGATAGGTAGAGCTTTATTCGGAAATTTTAAAGGGCTCGCTTTTGGTTGGGCGTTTGAAGCTTGAAATGGAAGGTTACTGTGAGTCTTACTGCGTTTATGTGAAATATTGCATTTGTGATTTTAGAATTTTGAGAAATGTTTGGATTTCTAAGTTATTCAGTTTTTGAATCAGATGAACTTTCGAATTTAAAAATTTTCGAATACGCAAATATTGAAATTTCCCAATTCCTAAATTCCAGAATTTTCAAATATTCAAATACTGAAATTCCCCAATTCCCAAATTTGCAAATATCCAAATATTGAAATTCCCCAATTCCCAAATTTGCGAATATCCAAATATTGAAATTTGCCAATTCGCAAATTTTCGAATATTCAATTATCCCAATTCCCAAATTTTCAAACACTCAATTATTCAATTTTCCAAGTTCTCAGATTCTTCAATTTTCGTATTTACAAATTTTCCCTAAATTTCAACCCTATCCTAAAAACTCGCAGATCGCCTTTCAAACTTTCCAAATTCCAAAAGAACCCAATAGCTCCAAAATACTTGGCTCTCACTGCAAGCTTACACGTATACCCTATCGAACTGCAGGACAAATATACATCAAACGTATCGATCGGAACCTCTTTCGAAACAAGTCTATTTTACTCCTTGCAAGTAACTACGCTCGTTTATCCAGGAATGCACACGGTGCAGCCACTGTAATCTCGCTTAACTTTTTTCCTATAAATTGTTCCCAAAGTAAGGATCGCACGGTGGGTAAACACCGGTGTCTAGTTTCGCTAGTACATGCCGGTTCACGGGTATGTTCCGTATGTACCTACCTGGCTATACATTGACCAGCTCTAGAATTCCACAGGGACAGAGAGGGGGGTCGCATCTGCGAATACGCACGTACATGCACTTACACGTGTTTGTACGTAAATGGAGCTATAAGCGACGATAACGCTAAATTCGCCACCGCTTCTGCAACATCTGAAACGGGGAAATGTCGGCTTGATTAATGGCATATTCGTAAATGCCTCGAACCTCTTTCGTTCGAGCTTTAGCGCGAAAAGTCACGTGCAAAAATGCGTTATATACATTACTCTGCAGATATTTCAAAAGTATAAAAAATTATTATCGTAGAATTATACACGTTTCGGACATTAAAATTTCTACAGAATTCATATTCAAACATTTTTCTGAAAAATTCGGAGCGAAAGGGTTGAAAAGTAGCGAAAACGTCGATTACCGTGATTGTCATCCGGTAGATGATCTCCAAGTCACCCTCGCGCACGAATCGACGAAACCGAAAGCGTCGCGTCAGTGTCGCGGGTTAACGATCTCTCGACTCATGGACGTCGAGTCGAACCGTGGCTTCGATTTCGCGGAGAGACGGTGCTGAGGGGAGGGGACACAGGGGGTTCAATTTCGGTGACGTTACGTCGGTTGACATTCCGCACGGTTTGCTGATTCGCGAGCGTTCAGCCGCGCGTGCATTTCCGTGTAAACGGTGCACGCTCGAAAGTATCGTCTCTGTGTTTCGAGTTGTTACGCGCGCCGCTGAAATCAAGCTTCACCATCCCCCCAACGCTGGATTTACGCTCTCTGCCCGCTCGTCTCCGCCGCATACTTCTCGCGTTATGGCAAAATTGCCTGGCACGTGTGAACGAGCAGGCGTGCCCTAGGAGCGCGTGTTTAGCGTCAACGTGTGCCTCTTCTCTGTGTGAATTTATGCGAGCTTGTGCCTGGTTTGGATAAAAAGTACAAAACACGCTGCAGGGAAATAGCAATTTATCGAAGAAAAGGGCGCAGAAGAGATCTGTTTGCCGATGATAATGTGGTTTTCGACGAGGAGTCTGGGCATTTGAAACGCTCGCTGTTTCCTTCGATTCGTTTCGATAGAGTCTCTTTGCCGCGTTTAAATTTTTGCTCTTCGGAATTGTAGAGGGTAGTTCACCTAACTCGGACACTTTAATAACTGAACTATGCATTGGTTGAAGAATTGTTATGTACAAAAGTTGCACTGGACAAGAATCCAGAGATTTGGAGTTTCATGTGACATTAATTGGTTGTTAAACTTAACTTCTAAACATACGTAGAATATACAAAACTTGCATTGTACTAGAGGCCAGGAATTTTTGTTACATACTGTATAATTCAAAAAATCGACGTTATTCGCTTATTAAATGTTGGGTTTTAAGTCTGCCGCCTTAGTTAGTCAGCTGACGAGCCTCCTTTCATTTGTTCATTCTTGATAAAGTATTGTTTATGCAATGCGTAAACGCTTCCTGTGAAAATCTCCTCTGACATCCTCCGGCAAAATTCATAAATAAAGCAATACATTGCCACAGTTTTCTCTCTCTCTCCTTGTTTTTCGTCGCATCAACTACTAGGTCATTAACGACATTGAACAGCCTGTGCTGTTATATTCTGTCGGTCAGCTTTGTTTCTTCGACGAAGCCAAGTAAGTTAAGTATTTCGTTGCGGTTCAGATTTTCTTTAAGGGAGGGTTCCAGTTTGCATTTGTTGCGGAAGAAGCTATACCTCGGGCAGGCCAGTATTAGACGATCTGTCGTGACCGGTGTGTTACCACCATATTAAACAACAATTTCCTAGCAAAGCCCTAAGTCAATAAATTCGCATTATCCGATCTCGAGGCTTTCCATGTAGACCTCATCCTATCTCAAAAATGACGTTTATACAGTCAGACTTTTTTCGCCATTCAACTCAAACGTCATCTTCCGAAGAAGTGATTCGAAAGCAGGAAAATTCGTCTGACTAAATACTTCTCCGGAGCGTGAATTAACGAGGTACTTGAAATGTTGCACGGCGGGACCTTAGATCAGCGAAGCAGACGGACATTAGACGGAATTTCAGCTCGTAGATTTGGCTGTACACTGGGCGGATGGCGGAAAATCGGAGTAGGCGTTTTGCTACGTGAGCACGAAACTCGCATGCATGATCCCTGGGGCATGTCAGCCCGATCGGACAAGAATGTCAGGTGGTCACGTCACGGACCACCGGCTGTCCATCAATCCTGTCCATGGGGTACATGGGAGTCCCCGTCTCATTTCGATTACGTCGGCATACGGGTTGGATTTCACGTGTAAACTACGACTTACTCCCTTCGGCATTATCTCCCTCTCGCCCGCTGACTTCTCGTCTTATTACGCCGTCACCAGTGATAATAGAGTTCTGGATCGCTGTAGGCACTTTCAGCCACGTATTCGGTAATTGCTCTTGCTTCTACGCGCTTCAACGAGAAATGGGTCACTCGATTAACAGTAACAAGTGTGTGGTTTTAAACATTCAGCTCGTGGAATCGATTCTTCGTCCGGTTCTTCGTTGGAGAGTTCAAGTCACTTTTAACCCAAATTTCAGATCACCGATTTCTCAGACTCGGGAGAAAAGTGTCACAAGTAAAGAATTTTTAATTTTTAGTTTGTTGCTTCGTTTGTAATTAAGAAATTGTCTTTTCGCTCTTCTCAAAAATTTCGTATTTTCGACCTGCGGTGAAACAAAAATCTTCGTCCATTTGGGACTGTAGAGCTCACGTGGAGATGTGTCAGCTCAAAAGCTCAAAATAGCTCAAAAAAATATAAACTTGATACTAATGCATTTATTTTAATGCAGACATCTAAGAATAAGCAAAATACAATTTTTGGGGCGCGAAATAAAAAGTTGGTCTCAAATGATGACGAGAAGAGTAATAAAAATAAAGTTGTGCTACAGAGTATGACACAAAGTGTTATTCGTATTTTCGAGGTTTTCTACGGGATATTTAAAAAAAAACTTGACACTTATCCATATAAACGTAACTTTGTTAGAGAAACAGAGCTGCATTTCGTCTTCAAAGAGTCTCCACAGGTTCATTATCATTATGAACAGCCATAAAACAGTTCACCAAAGAAGGACAGGAATTTAATTGACACCGGTGGGTGGAACACCATTAAAATTCCAATATATTACCTAATCTTAACACTTATCCATATAAACGTAACTTTTTTAGAGAAACCGAGGTGTATTTCGTCTTCAAAGAGTCTCCAGAGGTTCATTATAACCGTCAACAATCATAAAGCATCAGTTCACCAAAGAAGTAGAGGAATTTAATTAACATCGACGGATGGAACACCATTAAAATTCCGATATATTACGTAGAAGCTCGCGATAAAAGCGAGCATCTTCGAAGGACACCGATGCTTTATCGATCTCATGTAGAAAATGCGCCTCCTTGGTAAGAAGTTGATTCGTGCACCGTGAACGGAGCCGGCTTCAGCTGCGTGCCCTCTCATCCAGCAAAGACGCTGCAGCTAAATTCTTTATGCACGCGAGTTACGTTGCTTGGATGCATGGAGTCACGAGCGTACAACGTCGGAACGCAGTTCTTCCGCCTTTCCATCCGGCTGACGAGCGTGTTCAATAATATCTCGCCCAATTTCACCCGATCCTTTGCACGCTTTGGAACGCTGCACGCTGCGCGTCCTGGCTCTCTGATCTTCGTCGTCGACACGCTGCCGGGCAACAGCCAATCCGGCGTACCGACATTGAGGCTGCCTCTGCACGACGTTTGTTCTCCCTCCACGGGACCTGCATCGTCTCTTCTTTTCTTCTTTCTACCTCTTGGACTTGTTCCTAATTTTTTATACTTTTTCATTTTGTGAGGTACGCGTAATTTGAATCGCTGCTTTAGTTAGTGCGCGTGTTGGAATTGGTGTGTGCAGGGTTAACCGCATTCTTTTGTCATTCTTCAAGGTTTCGAAGGAATTAATTAGGTTTTCAAGGTGTAAGAAGTCTATCAATGTAATTGGAAGTTTTGAAAATTTCATTTTCAAGGAGCTTCCGAGTGACGATATTAGATTTTCTTCTGTGGCCTTTTTAAATTGGGTTTTCAAGGTTTAGGAAATCTATTAGTTTAGTTGAAAATTGGAATTAAGGTGTATATATTTAGAATATGATTTCTTTTATGAAAATGTGTGAACGTGAGTGTATTCAATGGCAACTTTTTCTCTGCAGCAAAATTTCAAGAAAAATGGTTCAGTATTAGTCGACAAGGGTTGTTTTCTCGCTGTATCAACGTTAATTAACAAAACCTTTCAAAAGCATTGGAAGGAAATATCGAAATTAAAACAACAAATTTTACGTAACATCACAAACAGGGAACGTGTCAGTTTATCAAATTTTCCTCATTATGACATGTCGAGAGATTTAAATCTGATTCTAAAATAACGTCACATATATAAGCACTTCAAATTTCCCAAACAGTCCAAGCTCATTGTAACCCTTTAGCCTCCAAGTCCTCTCACAAAAAGCGACCCCAAGTTACCTAGTCGAAAAATGACCACCGAAAATTCGTCCAAGCAATTCCATCTTGCTGCAATTACCACTTACACACTGGCCGGTTCCATCACGGCCAATTAGCATTCCGCGAGCGCGCGCACCACACCGTTAAAAAAGCGTCGCGGGGACGGAAAGGTGTGCGGAGCGAGGCGTTGCAAGGGTTAAATCAATTCGCGCGATTCCCCGGGAACAATAAAATTCGTCGCGGTGTCGAATTTTAAAATTCAATTCTTCTCTGCCCGGTTGTCGCACGGAGCACGGGGCGCAAAAACCGAGAGCAAAAGGAGGGGAAAACGGGTAAAAAGAAGAGAGGACAAATAGAGAAAGAGGAGCGTGTACGCGAAAAGCTCGGGGATTTCGCCGGGAAATATTTCCCGCCATTGGCATGCGCCTCGCGATTATTCGTATATTTCGAAAGACCGGTACAAATTGTTCCCGCTTCCGGCTCCAGCCGCGTAACCCGTTTAAAATTCCACGCGCGAGCCGTCCCGCCGCGATCCCCGATTTTGATTCTCGCCGTTTGACACCGCTTAGCAGAAACCAATACGCTCGCTTTCCTCGCTTCTGCGCCCGCGTCTGTTCATCTTCGGTATTCTCCGGAGAGGGTGCAGCACAGCCATCCCTCTCTCTGTGTACGATCATCGTCTGCCCGCTTCAGCTTTTCTTTTTCTTCTCCTTCCGTGTGTACTTACGTGATCGAATACGTAAGCAGCCGGCTTTCTCGTTCTTTTACCACGAATTCCTCGATTCCACGCCCGTCCCTTTTCCCGTGGCTCGATCTGCTCGATGGAAATCCAGATAGAATTCGAGTTATTTGCAGGGATATTTTAGCTCCGACGAGGCGAGAGGGGTAACGTCTCGATCTACCGCCCTTCTCTCTTTTCCTTCCAGCTCCCTCTTCTTTCGATTTCTTCTCTCGCGACGTCGTCTGTTTCCTTCTCGATTGGATTTCCCAGAAGCTTCTTCTTCGTCGAGTACGCGTGGCGCTAATAACGATGCTGCTGAGGGAGAGTAGAGAGGGTGATACGTTAATAGACGCGTTTCTGGGTTTGTTTGCCGAGGGAGAGGATGCTTCGTGATGGAGTTTTGGGGTGTTTGTTATGACCTGGGAGTGATTGGGAACGTGCATCGAGTTTGGGTTTGAAATTGGGTTTTATTGTATCGTGCTTTCTTCTTCTTTTTTTACTGGCTTTCGAATTATTAAACGCAGAGTTTAAGAATTTTTGTGACATAAAATGGAGAACAAAGTTTCGTCTGCAGTCGAGTTTAACCCTTTTACTCCCATGGGCTGATTTGGGCGCATTCGATTCAAACTCGATAGAGTTTACCTATTTTCTGTATTTAATTCTTTTCTATAATTACATTTTCCAGATATAGAAAATTTCATAAATATCTGAAAAAATTTTGGGTTTAAAATTTTTTCAACGACACCTCACATCCCTCTATTTCTCTCGCGGCGTTTCTAATTTCTATCATAACAACACACGTCTCATCGAACATATCTCGACGCAAATCCTGTCTCCCCTAACCATTTCGAAATAATTTTTCCGCAGCAGATTGCCCGAGAATGGCCGAAAACGAGCGTCGAATTAGTCGAAACACGGTGTTCACGCACACGCGAGAGCCGCTCGTGAAAATAGCTGAAGGGAATTCATAAAATTGTCCCTCTTTTCAAAGGATAAATACACACGGTCCCACGGCCACCGGCAACTCGTCGAGTCGTTTAATTAAGTCTTCACGGTGGAACAAGCTTAACGAATGTAAAAGACAGTGTAAATTCGTTCTGCCGTGAACCGCCACGCGGTGCCTAGCTACGTCTTCCTCGCGAGAGGTAATTTAATCGCGCGATTAAAGCACCGCGAGAGAGAAAGAGAGGGAGGGAGAGTGAAATGTGCAAAAGGGGGAGAGAAAATGCGAGACGCGTCCGACAGGTAGAAATGGGACAATTCCGGCGATTCTTTCGCGACGCACATTTAAGACGTTCAGGTGCACAACCGACGAAGATAGCGGAACTATACGTTTTCGTTCCTTACCCTGGAACGAGTTCAAATGTTCGACGCTAAGTGAAATGTCACGGTTCGTTTTTCCTCTCGGACCTCCTTTCTCTGATTTAGTTTTCTTCATTTCGCGGATTCTTCTTCTTTTTTTTTTACCTTCTATGCGCACTTTCTTCTTGCAAGCTCTTTAACGATTGTTTATGCGTCCTGTTCATTCCTCTTCGTTACTCTCTTCTTGCGTGCTGTACAGTGGGAATTTTATAACTCGACACCGCGTGAGAATCCATAATTCAGTGGTTGTATCAAACGTTGAACGAAATTTTCCATTTTTCACGACGATATTTCTAGAGGCTTCTACGAATAAATTATATTTTTCCGAAATTGAAACAGCTAAAATAAGCGACTCAATTCGGTACGAAAATCCTTTATTTATTATTCAATCACTGAGCGTGTATTATCGGTTAATTTTCATACGTTCGTTCAGAATCTCCCGACTCCGCGATTACGTATCATACCTCCGTCATATTTCATCAGGCATCTATACACCGTAATCCCCAAGAAACTTAACGAACGAAAAGATCCACGAAGACCCACTTAATACCCAGACTCCTGAATATTTCATTGGCTCGTCAGGCTTGTAGCTTAGGTTTTCCTCGTTTTAACGAGGTCCCAGGCATGATAATGACGAAGCCATAATGGATGGCCACTTCAGCTCTTCCCGGTGTGGTTGCATTATCGTCGCGAGCTCGTAACGAACGGCCGAATGGTTATCGGTTTGAATATTTCCCGCGCGGTAATTGAGTTTTTCGCGACGAGTTACGACGGCGTTAAAGGCGTGAAAACCCGGGAAACCCGGCGACGTTAACACGGGAACAACGATGGCCTGTTGCGCGTGTATCACTATGAAAGCGGTCATTCGCCGGTTGTACAGGGCCGCAAGTTCGCGCCACTGTAAAACTGCGCCCCCCGCAGCTAACGCGAAACATGTTGCCGCGCTCGCGAAATTACGCGGCAGCCCGTTTGATGTTGCGAAAGTGTTCTTTTAAACCGGCCGCGATAGCAGCTCGTTTTGAAATTGCGCTACAAGGGTGATAAATAACTCCGCTTCCATTGTCGTTTTACCGTGATCGGTTCGTTTTATTGGCTGGAGATGTTGCTGATAAATCGATCGATTCGAGTATTTCGAAATTTCACGCTAGTAACGGTGAACATTTTTAATTGATGTTGGTAATTAGAGGTTTCTCATTTGTTTGAAATTTTGTACGTGTGTGTGAGAGACGTTTATTTTAGGTAATTAGTAAATTACGTGGTAGTGCTACAAATTCTGCTGATAACAGATGAATTGAAGTAGAGAAGAATCTTTTGGTAGTTTTTATTGGTTAGGTATTGTTAGCATTGTACCTGTTGAATGGACAGGTAAATCATTTCGTTTGTCGACTTCGACGGTTTCGGAAGATTGAAAATCTCTATTGGCGATTTATATAGTCCACTTGTTAACTGTTAAACTGACTGGATTCGAGTGATCTGTATTTTGTTTCGGGGAGTCCATTTGACTAACAAAGCAACAACGAGTTACCGAGTTCTAGGATTTGACAGAATAGTGTAACAGGTTAACGACCGTAACGGGCCGATCATATGGTCGAGCTCGTCTTGGAAGAAAACCTGCGACACGAATAGTCAACAAAACGGCCGTTTGTTGTTATTAAACAAGAGCGAGTGGGGCTATATAAATGCGACGAATGCGAGTAGCGAACAGAGTGCGCGCGGGAGTGAGAGAGAGCGAACCCGGATCGCGAGGACCATACAAATAGGGAAAACAATTTTGACCCAACGGGAATCGAACTCGGGACCTTCGGCTTAGCAAGAGAAGGCTTTGCGCACTACGCCAACTACTATCCCTCTATTTTCCCCTGTCGGTTTCCTATTTGGGTATGGAGGCCCCGGTGCTACAATAGCGAGAGTGTCCTTTTTCTGCGAGGCGACGTAATATGGTATTTAACAGTGTACTCTATCATAATTATATTTTACAAATCCTTCCTACAATAGTATAATTTTTTTTTTTCTTATGGGACGGAACTTACGGCACAACTGTGTATTATACTTTTGTTTTTGCCTCTCATTAGGAAATATGCAAATTTCAGTATCCTTACTGAAGCATATTTACGTTTAATTACCTTATTTTATTTTTGTAATATTAGGAATTTTTATGGAAAGTGAGAGGTAGAAATTGTGCCGTATCTGTTGATTAGAGTATGAATATTAGAGGACAGTGTTCGTACGTCGCGTCGATGGAGATTAGAGCAGAGTTGCAGAGAAAACG